AATAAAATTGAGAAGAAGATATTTGCCTCGTTGATGACAGGCAGACCCCAGCCAGAAATGACATGTCAGAACGCCGGTATTTCGACGTTGTTGGTCGAACCAGAGGGCCAGAAATACGATGAATGTTTCGACAAGTCGATGCCGATTCGACGAATATCGATACGGTGTTTCTGGCTGTGACGTAATTGTCCACACTGTAATTTCAGCTTGACGGTGGGGGTCGTTTTATCTATTTACACGAGCACAAAGACCGAGAATGCAAAAGTATCATTACAATAAGGTCGCTCATGTACGAATTAGAACATTCTTGCGATCTTGTGCAAACCCGAGTACAAATATACTTGAAACAAGACAGGATTTCTCTGGGTGTGTAATGAGCTATCACAGGACAACGGCTCTTATTTCTCGCAACTAACATTTTCTTCAACACATAGAACACTTTAGCTAAAAGAACTTAAAAGTAAATTGGCTGCTATGCACCGAACACGTGAGTTCTCCCAACTAATATTTAGTTGGGTTGACTTAAGTATTACTTATTTTCCGTGTGTACAATCTCTTTCTCTTCCTCCCTACTCGATTCCAAGTCCATACGCACGGCTTGTACATTCTACAATTTTGAATTGTAACTGCACGACATCTTCTATGGAAAATAATCCTGTACCCGGTACGACAATTTTAACAGTGTATTTGGCAGCATTTCAAACAGTCCCCAATAGACTGTCTCTTACTTTACACTAAAAGTGTAAATTGTCAGTTGTTCCCTATTCCTATTCGCCTGGCACCTACATCCTAAAATTTCTCAGCAGAAGGGATTGAGGTGAAGCTGCTTTTATTTTGGTTGTACGTGCCATCACGAATACTGGAAGGGAAAAGTAGGCTCCCCGTCGAGGTGTGCGGCAGGGCCGGGCAGGACGCGACGGCGGCGAGGAGCCAGGAAGAGGTCGGGGCCGGGGTCCCCTCGGGGCACGGGGGGAGGGGAAGGGGAAGAGGAGGGGAGCAGCCACAACTGTAGCACAAACAAGCAGGGGAAGGGCGGTGACTGGAGAGCTCCCCTCACTCACGCGAGCATCTAGATGGGAACCTGAGGAGGAGGGGTGGGAGGTGAAGGAGGACACGGCCGAGAGAGGGGCTCGTGTCCTGGGGGGAAGAAAAGGGTCCTTTAACAGCGGCGGGGTCCTGGACCGGGAGGCGCGCGTGGAGCGGGACTAACTAATTGCGCGCGCGCGAGAGAGAGAGAGAGAGAGAGAGAGAGAGAGAGAGAGAGAGAGAGAGAGAGAGGGGGGGGCAGCGCCAGTCGTCCAGCGTAGTTGTTTTAATGCAGCGTTAGCGATGCATGGTCGCACTGGACCGTTTGAACACGCGGCGCCGCCGCCACACTGCACACTCAGGAGTCGTCTTACTGTTGCTACGCACGGGAAAGAAGGCCTGAAGCAGACCAAGAATAGTCGTACGGTTATTATCGTCCGTTCGGCTGCGCAATGCACTGCATTGGTAATGCTTCGGCTTTGAGCACTTCACCGGCAATGCTTCGTCCGAGACTGTGACGGCCGGTGAGAGTTTTGCAATTCAAATGGTGACGTGGATTCACTTCAGTCTGGCCGTTTGGAAGTGCAGCCCTCCCCCCAATCTGTCTCTCCTTCTCTCTCTCTCTGCTCCCCCATCCCCCCTCTGCCCTCGCCCCCTCTCGCTCGCTCATTAATTTCTCTTATTTTTTCTTTCTTCCTTTCCCTCTCTGAAGTCTCAACAGTATGCGGTCTATGTGGCATGTTCGTGGCAAGTCTTCCTCTTTTATAAGTGTGCGAGTGATTCTCGAGGCTGTGTTATTTACAGGGACCGTCGCTCCCTTTCTCATCTCACCTTTATTTATTAGATCTACTTTTTGCATTGCCTCCACCACCTGCTCCTCCGACGTCACTCCTCGTCAGGCACACTGAAAAATCGTTAGCACGCGAAAGGAACGCGCCAATGAAAAACGCCAGAACCATATGTATTTCTAAAATATTAATATTCTGCTTTAGCTGTCGTCACAAAATGTATTGACGAATTTAATTGGTAAAAACACTGTTAAAGCATTAAAAGGCACTAAAAATATTTCGTTCATATGGAATAAAATTGGATTCTAATGCCTATACTTCCGTAATCTACGAAAAATTCCGCGTCGAACGATCCTACATGTGATGGGGTTCTATTCAGAAATGGCATAAATTGATAGAATTTTTTGTACTATCGGACTTTTTCTGACTGCTTATCACATGAAGACTAGTTTGACGCGGAATTTTGCGAGAAATGCGACAATGTATCCCAAAATGTGATCGGTTTGCTCATTCAGAAAATATTTGGGAATCTAAAAAAATCTAAAAATAAACACTTTATCACCCCTAGAAACGGGTTAAGCACCCCGGGAATATGGTAGGATATCGCACCTTTGTTTTTTCCAGTTAAATCCACTTGCACATCATTGCCCACAGTTTGACGCACACGGCATTTTGGGACGGGCGACTCTGCAGTAGACTCTCTTCCGACATGACGAGGCGGCGCTGTGCGCTTCTGTGTGTTGGGGAGGGAGGAGAGGGGGAGGGGAGGGCATGTCATCAGGTCCAGGCTATAGAGTTGCGCCTGGCAAACAGTTCATAATGCATGCACCCTGTAGCGCCCGCCTTGCTCCGCCCCTCCACTCCCCGCCCTACCCCTCCCCTACCCATACCTACCCCACGATGCCCCGACAACCCCTGCCCCGGACTGCCGCCTCTGCCGCTGCCCTGCATTCAGGGAGGGGAAAATGAGGGGACCTTGATGAGGGAGAAAGTAGAAACAGTTTGCTCTGGCCCTGAGAGGGGTGAGGTCCGCGGTGAAGACGGGACGGGAATGGGGAAAGGGGGTCTGCTAGGGGATATGGTGGTGAGAACGGACACTCAGCGCCACTGCACTCGAATCCGCATTTGGCTGCCGCATTACGCGCATTACACGCACATTTTAAGTGGCAAAGCGCATTAAGAGCGTCGAAAATGTGTTACCTTGTTTTGCACAATGACAATGGCGCACATGCCAGATCGGCACTAGTAGGGTAGGCCCTGAATGAGAGGGTTCACTGAAACAGTATACTTTGAAATGCAAATTGATTATTACACAATGTACTTAGACTAGGCATGTTCCAATAACATGCCTGCCCAAGCACGCACTGTTTAATCGGCATGCTGATGAAGCATTCTGTTTAAAAAGTGAGGTTGAGGTTACAGGCGCACAGTTTAGAATGGGACCTATTATGCCAATTTTGATAAATTTTGATGCGCCGTGCCGCCGTATGCCGCCTATGACTGAGGCGAGGTTGTAAGTGCTTCTGACGGAGGGGCGATTTGCTGTGGATTGCCTACTTTCAGGGGTTTTGTAGGAAAATTTCTTACCTACCCTAGGGGGTGATTTTGGGCTGACGGGGGGTGGAGGAATCATCCCTTACCCCCCCCCCCCCCCCCTGGAAGGCGCGCATGCCCTCCCATCCGTTGCCAGTGGAGAAGAAGTGACTAAATAAATTGTTAACGCGAATGTCAGTGCAGCAGGGCACTGGGGAGTTGGGTCCAGCTTGGCCCAAGTCTGGGGGTGTGTGGGGAGCATTCTGTAGAGATCGTGGGTGGAAGGGTCACGGCGATCTGTTGTTTTGGCTTAGGTTGACGTTTATTGAAGGATAAGGTCAGGCACTGTGGTCGTACTCGGTTCTAGCGTACCTAGTCCGGGGTACGCCTGGGTAAGTTGTTGTACAATGATTTCTTTAAAGTGTGAATTTACCTTTACATAATGTGTGCTGTAAGAAAATGAACACTCTTGAAAGATAATTTAATTTTCATTATACGGCATTGGCGTAGGTGTTCATATTCATCTGGAAGTAGGACAACTGGAGATGTAATCTCGTGATCGCTACACCACTTGGAGAGAAAAAAATACCAATCAGGAATCGATTATTAAAATCAGATGATACTTTCATCTTAGAAATAAGTTCCAATCCTCTCTCATATTCAGAAATGTTTGACTTGGAATCCAGTGACCTAGCGTCGTACGAGGGAGAGAGCAGAGCAGACGTTGCGTAGAGTCGGGCTGGTGGGCTGGTGCTACAAGAATGGCACCACTGGTGGGGAACGACATGCCGGCCACAGTTTTGGCCCCCTATAATTATTCACCTTTGCCTCGAATCTCGAAACACGAGAATACAAGCATTCATACACATTTCAATGATGGTATAAATTAAATTATTTTAAGTGTGCCATCTGCTAAAAATCACACATATTATGTCAGTTCTCAACTTCTCGCAGTATATGAAAATCATATCGCCTGTAGTGGTAGTGGTAGGCCAGCCCGCCGAGCAGCTGAGTAGAGATGCCGGCCCATCCTGAGCGCCTGTAGCGGGAGTGGTAGGCCAGCCCACCGAGCAGCTGAGTAGAGATGCTGGCCTATCATGAGCGCCTGCAGCTGAGTAGAGAAGCCGGCCCGCCCTGAGCGCCTGTAGGGGGAGTGGTAGGCCAGCCCGCCGAGCAGCTGAGTAGAGATGCCGGCCCATCCTGAGCGCCTGTAGGGGGAGTGGTAGGCCAGCTGAGTAGAGAAGCCGGCCCGCCCTGAGCGCCTGTAGGGGGAGTGGTAGGCCAGCCCGCCGAGCAGCTGAGTAGAGATGCCGGCCCATCCTGAGCGCCTGTAGGGGGAGTGGTAGGCCAGCCCGCCGAGCAGCTGAGTGGAGACGCCTGCCCGCCCTTAGCGCTTCGAGTCAGTCCGGGGGTTATTACTTGTGGGGTGGGGGCACGGGTACTTTTACACTGCACCTGTATCTGTATCCTTATGCTGTACCCGTCCATATACCCTCTACCCTGTACCCGAACCCTTTACCTGTACCGTGCACCTGTACTCTGTACCTGTACCCTATACCTGTACCTTGTACTTGTATCCTGTGCATGTGCCCTTTCACTTCATTGTATCTGTGTTTTGGGAGCTTCAATAGGGGGTCTTCGCACTGATTGCAGTGGACCCTGGAGCTCAACTCGCAGATCGCCACCTTCCGCGAGCTGATGCTGAGCATCGGCAGCGGCAAGGACACCCAGCAGCTGCGGGAGGATGTCCGCAAGTGCCGCATGGCGACCATGGAGTTGTGCAGAAATGCGCGCCCCCTCATCGCGGCCTCACATAAGTGGTACGGGCTCGACCAACGACCCGCATTTAAGTTTTTGGAATTTCGAAATTTTTGGTCCACTTAACTTACTAACATTTTTGTTTTGAAAGGAGATCACAGATATTGACGATGAGGAAGTAGTCCTCTTGAAAACATAACTCTCAATTGTTAAAAGCAAACAGTAAAGAATTAAAAGAATTAAAACGCGTTCATAAAACAAATACCTTTCCACACCACTTCAACCCTTCCCCAATTTTTTGTAGTCTTATTTTCTATCTAGCACGACGCTCCTGCGTTGCCTTATTTTTTCCTGCATTTTTGAGAATGCCGACTGCCGACAACTGCACTCACCCGTTATCGCTCTTGGTGCACGAAGCAGACATCCTAACACTATTCTCGATTTCTTTAGTTTGAAACACTTTATTACGTAACTCTCACGCGTTCTTTCTCTCCTTACTTTCTCCTCGTTCCTAACGCGCGCTCAGGGACAAATTTAAAAGTTTACTCCGAAATCGAAAATACGTCCCTACTTTTATGACGTAAATCGAAATGTGAATACTATATTTGTCTCTGAGGTGTCGTGCCAGAGCCCAAGCCTTACCAGCTGTAACGAGTTTTCTCTTTCTCCAGGCTCTATCGGAACATACCTCGAAGGGAGTCCTGCAGTCCAACTTGCAGGATATGCGCTAAGTGAAGTACTTCCGAAAAAGGCTTCTTGTCGCTTTGAGTTCCGCATTCATAGAACTTTGCAGGCGGTTCCATTGTTTGTGCCTCACACTTTTGTGCGCCCGCCAGCACTTGTTCTGTGTGTCCCAGCTGGTAGAACAAAGGTAGGACGTAGCACCTTTTTCCTAGGGTTATGGTGATATTCGGGCTGCAATGCCTTTGTACAGGCATTAAAGCGCTTAATAGGTGCTTGCTTGGAGTACCGTAATTGGGAGTTTTAATGTCTTTCGAAATCTTTTTAACAACTTTGAAGAAGGTGCGGAGTCCTACGTTTATTTTACCATTACCCTCTAGCCCCCTGACACACCCGGGGATCCATTCCACAATCCCAATGATAAATTACGGTCAAATCGACATCGAAAAACATAAAGAAGCGAAAAGTCAAAAGTTTCTATCGACCGAAATGATATAAAAACTGCCCAATCTACATTGAAATGATATTGTTTCAAAATGTAATTTTTCACGGGGAATCAAACTGTCTATTTGATACATGTGTGTATTTAGAAATTGATAGGCAAAGCAACTAAGTCACAAAATTTCTGCAAATTTCTGCAAATATAAGTTCATTCCATAGCAAGTTGTCCATGGTTTTCAAAATGAGGTTTTGCTGAGTTCACTAAATAAACGCAATGTATCACGAAGGGGGTCCCAACTGCCTAACTTAGCTCGGTCATTTGCAAAGAGAAGTATATGACTGTAAACTTGAGATTTTCAGATTGTTTGTTGTCCCTTAACAGTGTTCTCTGGGTGAGGTGCCTGGATGAGCACCGTATCCCTAAAATGTGGACATCAAACTGCCCCTATCCGTTTATCCAGAATCGGAACCCGGAACCTTCTCTCCTGCCCTTCAGTGTGTAGGCATAGGGCCTAGGCTTAGCAGCCGTCTAGACGGCTCAGTAGGAGTGGAGTAGGGATGACGTGCTTGTCGCTTGTCTCTCTTTTTCATTTTTCGTCTTGTCTTGTGTTGTGTGATTAGTAGACTCGTGATTTGCTCTGACCGCTCCTTCCATCCTTTCGGCCACACGGGCGCCCTGTGAGCGCTCTCTTGCATGCTGCTACCGCAATGCTACTGCAGTGCTACCGCTCGGTACCGTTACCCCGGGCCAAGGTGGGCGGGCCGGCGGTAGAACACATTTAATACCATCCACACTCTTATCCTGTTACTGACTTCCTTGACCTCCTTGTCAGTATTCCTGCTGTTTAAAACTCTTTATAAGTTACTGACATTTATTTTTCATCAGTATTACGAAATTTCCTTTTTTATATTAACAATTTCTTCTGTTAGCAGTAAGTTGCTTTTAACAAATATAGACTATAAGTTAAAAATTGTCATTAAATCAGAAAATATCAGTAATCCCAAAAGTAAAAACGTTGGTATTTTCGAGGAAATACATCAGTACAGATCTGACAGTTCAAAAGGCGGCAAATTTGCGACTGCTTTTGTCAGCCACGCCTTTCTATTGACCGTGATATGGGTAAGTCGTAAGAACAGCAGGAGGCCCTAGCGACCTACCTGGCAGTTCGGAGAGAAACAAGGTCTCATTTATTGTCATGAGAATTAAAAACTAACAACCCTCCAGGTTTAAATGCGAGACAGAAGAAAGCAATCACATGTCTATATATGCATTGTTTGTTGGTATCTTGTGCCCCACCCTGGCCTGGCCCGGTGGCGGGCGGAGCTGGCGGAGCGTGGGGGCGGAGGGCCCTCGCACGGAACCAAAAAAAGAAGAGGACCAAACCCAGTGAGCAATGAAATGTCAGGCCGATATCAAAACGACGCCAGACATCAGAAATTTGTCGGTTTTTGCATCAGATTGATAAAAATGTGGTCCTTTGAAATTGACACGTTTCCTGATATCGTTCTGACATCTGTCTGACTTTTCATTGCTCACTGGAAAGTGATGTCATTTGACATCAAGAGAGTAATTTACTTGAGAATATTTCATCATCATTTTGACCTAAAAAAATACATAATTTGATGTTGATGTGAGGTCAAAATGACTCCCTTGATGTTAACTGAATGACATCACCTTGATCTTTTTCTTTTCACAGGGGAGCCATGGCATCTCTTTTAGTTTCATCTGCTAATCATGCCCATCTTTATGTCCTCCAGTGAGCTGGGGTGGTGAGAAGGGGTGTGAAGTGCACTAGTAAAAGCTAACAGTGAACTTCACCGTAAGCTGCAGTGAACCCACACCCCACACCCAAAAAGTGTGTTTTTAATTCAAGAACTGTACTTAATTTTTTGAGAACATATTCTTCTTTGAACTCCTACTTGATTCCTTCAACATGAAATTGGTCTCAAAATTTTAAGTACAGTTCTTAAATTAAAAACATTTTTGTGTGCAGAATAACAGTAGTGTACGGCGAATTTTCACCTTGATTCACCGTTGGTTACAGTGGCATTCACCGTGTAGCTTCCAGTGAAACTTCACCGTCTGCTACGTTGCTGCAGGGTTTACTGTGCGCTAGGACGCTAAGAACAGTGGAGAGGGAAGGGAGGGGGGAGCTCACTGGAATAGCTGTGTCGGTCTGTAGGGTGTGAATGTAGTAATTATAACTTATTCCGAGCGAGGGCGATGGCACAGCGTGGCGTGGCGTGGCGTGGACTGAAAGACAGTGATGAGCACGAATGCACAGATTGTAGGTCCTGGTGGACACCACTGCTAAATCAGTCAACAAATATTCGCTGAAACGAAAGTACACTCTAAAGGTAAAGGGACAATTTTATTCGTAGAAATGGAACGGATTCGTGCACATCCAGAAAGGATCGGTTCCATTTCTACGGACAAAATTGTCCCTTTACATTTAGAGAGAGTGCACATGTTCTACATGTAGAAAACACAGTAAGCAGGTGCACCCTTCCACCAAACTCAGTTTTCGGCACTACTTTGTTGTATTTTTGACTCCGTTTGGCTGGGGCCTGCCCTGTTCGGCCTGACCGCGCTAGCCATTTTTAAACGAAACCGTTAGGGTCGTTTATACCAGACACAAGGGCTGCGCGCCGGCGAGTGCCACATCAGTTGGACGCGTCAATTCGATGGGCCCCGTTTGCTCGCAATCATCGCAGGGACTGTTGCATGTTGTAGGTTGCATTGTGTTGTACCCTACTGGATCCGCCCCAGGCAACAGCCGCAGCCGCGCCGCGCCACGCCTCGCCGACAGCCCTGCCCAGTGCCCAGTCCGCCCCCGCTGTCCGCCCCGCCCCGACACAGACGGCTTGGCCACATGACAGGGTCGTGTTGCAGGGCGCAGCCGGGGGGCTGGACCTACACCATGACCCCGGCCGCCATGTGGTGCGAGTTCATGAAAATGTTCCACCGGCAGCTCGGCACCTGCTACATCCTAGTGCACGAGTTCCCCGCCGACATGTCCGGCTACCAAGGTAAGGGACTTCATCTGCTCCTCTCCCATGTCGTGCGGTGACACTTCTCTCCCCTTGTCCCAGCCAGAAATGAAAATTGCATCGACGTCAATTCGACGCCGATCGAATTCCCTTTCTGGCGCTGGGTTGTGCTTTTCTTTCTGACGTTGATGCAAAGGGGTCGACGACGTAAGGTTTCACCTGTAAGCTTTTAACCATGACGAACCCAGAGAGAAAATGAACCAAGTCTAACCTTCAAAAAGATTTGCTGCCAACTAAACGTTATTTTTTGCTGAATCCCTGGACTGGAAGTGTAAAACGAAACCACAGGAACTAAAAAACAAACAAAAAACAAAAACAAAAAAAACATATGTTTTGTAAGATCCGTCGCGTCGATGTTAAACTGACCGCTGGCTTCGTTTTTGCGCTTCCATTTTACTTGATACTCCCCGCCTAACAGTTGAGTATGAAATCGCCTATGCTTTCCTACCTGGCGACCGCAGGGGGTGCGCTCTCCAAGCTGCTGGTGCAGAGCCTTCGGCCCGAGTGGAACAAGCAGGAGATCGCCAGCGTGCGGGTGGACCTCGTCGAGCTGCAGGAGTGCATCACGGCGACCGGGGTGGTCACGCCGGACGACGAGCAGCAGATGGGTGAGTGCAACAGGAGTGCGTGAAAAACATACACACCAAAGCAATGGGTTGCAACGTGCTGTTCGGGTCTATAGTGAGATTAGCCTAATAAGGTCCCACTTTTCACAGCACAGGCAGCATAGGAGGTCGCAGGTGAGGGGAGAAAGGAAAAGTGTGACCTTATTCTGGCCTGCATACATTTGAAATGAAATGGACGTGTTATGTTGTTGGCTGTGGTTGGTTGGGATGAGAAACTGCCACGTTTCTACCAACCGAAAATGTTGGTTCAAGCACTGAGCTCACTCCACAGTTTAAATTGACGGGCCTTGACGGGAATACATAAAAGAGTATTTCTTCTGAATCCCGGACCGAGACTCACAAGCAAAATGGAATCACAAAAATCGTGGTGGTCTCATTAAAATAAACAACCCGGGGACACAAAATCGCGTATTTCTCATACCATGTTTTACTTTTATACCATATTTTACTTCTAACTTCTGGCGCCCCGCACTACAATCTTATGAACATGTTTTATCATAGCTTTCTCAGTTCTGCAAACACGCACCGCTTATTCATTTTTTTAATATGCCAGTATCGGCCAGTATGAACAAATTTCTTTATACTGGAATATTCAAAAACTGTGTTAGCGGAGCATGTTAAAAGAACTCAGCTATGAACAAAAATGTTGATAAGATTTTAGTGTACGTGATTCACTGAAATACCGAGCTGAGTTTCTGGCTGTGCGGAGAGGACTAGAGCGCGGTGGCGCTGTGGCCGTGTGTCGCAGAGAGCTCCACCGCCCTGCAGAAGCCCGAGCTTCAGCGCCGCCGCTCGGCCCTCAGCTTCATGTTCTGCTGCTCCCGGGACTCGAACCGGAGCCCGCCGCCGCCTCCTGAGCCCACCTCCTCCGTCCAGGACCTGCCGGACCAGCCCACCAGCTCGGGCAGCAGCAGCAACAGCGGGAACAACAACAGTAGTGCCAACAACAACAATAACAACAGTAGTGCCAACAACAAGCCCCTCAACGAGGTCAACCAGGAGGAGGAGGAGGAGGACGAGGAGGGAGCGGAGGCCCGGCCCTACGACCCGTGCACGCCGTGGGACTCAATGTGATTTGAGGACGTAAAATTTGTTATTTGCATACAAGACAGAGTTTTTCTTTTTCTATGGTAATGATTAAGAGTCGTGTACAAAGGTAGATAGTCCTGTTCAAAATTGTACTACAGAAAAATTTCTAGTATTTCAATAAAATTCACAAATTAAACTTTGCTGTTTCCGTTGGTTCTTTTTCTCGTTTGGCTGCAACAGCATTCACAAATAATCTTTTCCTTAAGATGCAGTCTTACTTAAACTTCATGATTCAATCATTTCAACGTAAACTTTTGTCCTCCGACTTGGCCACGAAGACGACCTCAAGAAGAAAAGTTCAAAATGCAAAAGATTTAAAAAATTATTTTCTTTAATAACATTTTAAATTATATCTATAATCAGCATAAAAGTTTTCGTCAGCATCTATTTTATTCCAGACGTTCAATCCAATTTCAACAAATTCTTCTTCAAAAGTAAGTTATTTAAATAAAAAAATGTCATATTTAATAAAAGTATAAATATTTGAAACCGAAGAAAGAAAAACGCCAACACCAGCATCACGCAACCCGCAAACGGTCGCAGATGTCGCCTGCTCGAACATCACAGCCAACTTTACAAGGAGAGAGAGGACTGATACTGGAAATGTGTAATGTGTCTCGGGAGAGAGACGATCACTCCGAGTGACCTCATCCACTTCCATGGTACGTTCTGACCATGGGGCTTCGCGACCCGAGAGGGTGGCAACCCACCCACACGTGTGCTGGCGCATCAGGACTGTGGACGCGTCAATGTATGTTTAGCTTTAGGAATGTGTGCATAACTGTGATCGGCACACCTTGGTACGCTGGCCAACAGGAACAGGTAATATCTAACCACAACTAACCATACTGACTTTTTGCGCATCATTCTACTTGCGTACCAATTCTGTACATTATTTGTCTTTTGTACGAGCTGAGCAGCACACACTGCTCATTGCCAAAGTGATTTATTTGTCTTAAAAATGAGAAAAGCGGAGGAGGGATTTAGGAGGTTCGTGCGCTGCTGTTGCAGCAGCACTCCGCAAGTCCCAGGCAACACAGCTACTTCTTCACTGTTATTCAAACACTGTGACGTCACATTCAATCGAAGAGTTTCTCATGCTGACCGGGGGGGGGGGGGAGAGGACTGCCCCTGTCGACGCCCCCTTATAACTGCGCCTGGATGTCATCGTGATTGAATAACAGTGTTGTCGCAGAGTAAGGATGCCGGCTGTCAGAGCAGCGACCACAGTGAGAAATGACTTTTTAATCTTTTTTTTTCTAAGTGCCCTAGTCTTACAAACAATTTGGCATCTAGGGGAGAAACATAGGGTAGTAGTATAATGTGTCACTGGGAACACGACAAACTACACCCCTTAATGGGAAATTAACGTCCGGGACGTTATCGAAAATACATTCCGTTTATCGAGTTGATATCCCGTTTTCCCTCTGGGGCTTACACAACTCTTGCACACTTCCCGGGCGGAAGGGTGATTAACGCACCTCTCACTGTAAAATGATTGCAATTTTCCGAATTTTGCAAACTAAGTGTTCTCGGAAAGTTAGCATTAGCATAGCCGTTCTCGCGGCGCTCTTGTGTATTGCGTAAAATTACTGTTGGAAATTATTTCGTGATTTGACGAAAACTAATATCCTGTTCGAAAAATAACACCCAGTTTGTAGCTACGTTGTTATACTAAAGAAATGAACCCTGACACCAGTATTTTTAAATCAAACTCATCCTGATTAATTGACATCAGTATATCGTGATGTTACGAATAGTCGGATTTTACACCACTATACAAATAGTTAGTTCCCGAAGTTCGCGAAAAATACTCCTTATTTTCAATTACGGACTATTCGGTTCATTATCAGTGAAATTTTGCAAACATTTTTAGTGCTCAGAGATGCACTCTGGGGCCGCCCATGACTGTCCATGGAGTGCCGACCGGCCAGGTCAGAGACTAATAAAGGAATTGTCATTTTTTTTAAATGAATAAAATTGGGACTGTGTGACCCGGTCTGTCGGTACTCTGCGCACCCAAAGTCTGACTAGCTGTAAGTTCTTTTGGCCACCCAGCCGCTTTTGGTACTTAGTAGCATTTACACCCCTATCGTCCTATTCAAAAGTCACTGAGATTTCGCGACGAAACAACCCGTAAACCTAGGATTAAGTCGCAGAGGTCAGTTGGGGTTCCCCCGAAGGCCTCCACTCTGCCCATTAAAATGTGTACATTGTATCCTTTAAATACAGTGTACATGTCATATTATTTAATGATGTATCCATGTACGCTTTGGTAGATGTGTACATGGTCATTGTACACTTGTTTAAATGCTTACATGGGCATGTACACATTAACAATGTATAGGCCTACATTTGAATTGACAGAGGAGACTCTAATTTTTTTTTGTAGGTAGCGTAAAATCGCGTGCTTCAAAGCTGTCGATAACTACTCTAACTGTAGAATTAAGCTGTTAAATAACGACATGGTTGGGCGTGCTTCAGTATGACGCGATTTCGTTTGACGTTTGTTCCCCGTCTCGACCCGGCGGAATGTGTCCGTGGCTTGCATTGCATAGTTGTGCTCCCAGCCCTAACGGGGCGGGCCAGCTGCTGCCCGCCGGCCACGCGGAGTCTGCTCGGCGGAAATGAGGGAGGTTCATTTCCACTG